TGGAATCAGGAATAGATTCCTTTAAGGGAATACGACCAAGAGCCTAGAATCATACTAAGTCTTGGCCTGTCACACAGGGGCTACCGCATGCTCTGCATATGCTGAAGGAACTGTCTCAACAGACCCCTAGTAGCAACACCCTGTTAAAAGTGGGTATCTGCAGGATACAAGGTGGAGTGGTGCCCAAGGTGGAACCAGGGCTTAACCAGCTCAAGAAAGGGCACGAAGCTGCCGCGCGAAGCTCTTACCATACAGGATTTTAGAAAGAACGCAGGGTACTAGCGTGCAAACTTACCACAGTGTGGATTTTAGAAAGTGTACAAAGACTAACGTGCACACTTACCATAACATGGATTTAAAAACCATTCTAAGGTGCCCTCATGGTACTCTGAAAGAGCAGCCCATAGATGGAAATGGTGCATCCCAAAACACTATGTTTGAGAAGTCATCAACTCGATCTAAGGTATACTGCTGGAATGGTTAGCAGTAAATCTCTAGCTGAGGGAGCAAACACCCAGCTCTCAACGAGAGGGGCTCAACCTATGGCACGATTGTTAGAAATCAGAAGGTTAAGCGTACTGCAAGCTAGCCAGTTGCTCTGGGAAAACAGAGAACTCAACTCTCACATGAGAGGAGAACTCCGAATTCAGAAAGGAGTTGCGTGCTCATAGGTAACCCTTTTATTAAAAGGGGAGCACTGCTAAACACTACCACGCGAACAGCCCACGGAGCAAGGAATCCAACTCCTCAGAAGGGAGAGAATTCAAACGATCGAAAGAAAGCACCATGCTCATAATAACCCTCAATGGTGAGGAGAGCGATGCTTCCAAAGTGTGTCGACAGAGACACACTGGCTGAGTGAAGCCCAAGGTACCGGGGGCTAAACCAACTCAGAGAAAGGGAACGAGGCTAATAACGCGTAACCCTTACCATACAGGATTTCAGAAAAGTGTGCAAAGCATAATGTGCACACTTACCACTATGTGGATTTTAGTAAGTGCGCAAAGCTTAACGTGTGCACTTACCATAATATGGATTTAAGAGTTTTCCAAGCATCTGTTCACAGATACCCGGAAGTACTGAGCCAAACGGGAGAGTCAAGCTCAAATACAACCCTCCAAGGCGAGGGGAGCACTGCCTGAGACAGCATACACAAGAAGATTCTCGCAAATGCCACCTATACTTCCCACTTGATGCCTCAGCAAGAGGGAATATCCTAGTGACTAGGAGGCCCCTCAGGGCGACCTAGATATGGTATACCAGACAGGGCAGCCTGAAAGCATAAGCCCAACCCGGACGTCCAGGAAATTCAGCAGTGCCGTGCCGGGGGCCTGATGGTCAGGAAGGCTCCCGCAGAAGCCTGTGACCTGGCCGCATGATCCAGGAAGCATGAAGCCGAAACCAGGCTATCATACCGGCTGGACATCATATCGACGAGTGACGTAAACACTGCAAGTCGAGCACCCGGTTTCTGAATCCAACAGAGGGGATGCTCACCGAGGACCTACCCTAGAAAAGGACAGAAACACACAGGTCCCGGAAAACACTGCAAAGGAAGCTAGCAGATGGATTATACACACAACCATCAGCACATTAAATACACATATATATACAGTAGGGATGCACCGATACCACTTTTTCCAGTACTCGCCCGATACCGATACTTTTATTTTTGGTACTTGCCAATACCGAGTACCGATACCGATATTTTTATTGCATTTGTAAATTTTTTAAATATTGGGTACATAAACCAAAAGGGTATGTATAATGTTAGTTGGTTAACTTAATTTATCAAATAGATACAGTCAAACCAAAATTTATTCAGACACCTTCAACATTTCTCACATTATAGTTGTGAATTGTTTCTCACAACTATAGTTTATTCGCTATAGTTTAGAAAATGGTAATAACATATGACAAGAACTCAGAGTTACACTGTGTCAGAACAAATTCATCTTGATAATGTTAGATAATTTTGATAGAAAGGTATGTAATAGATTACAATCAACAAAAATAATTCAGACAGCTGTTAGTATGACAGTATTTACACAACTATGAATACTTTGTCGGGCAACCCTTAGCCTCAATGACAGCCTGTAGTCTCCTGGGCATGCTGTCACCCAGCTACATGAAAACCTCAACTTCAGTTTTTTTCCCAGACTCGGTCTGAATCATTTTTGGACCCAAATTTGTATAAATTTTACTGGTAGTCCACTGTATGAAGAATTTTTCACAGTCACAGTTTACTTTATTTTGCTATCCTCACTTACATAAATGAACTATAGTGTCCTGCACCCACTAGTAAAAAAATCTAAAAAATTAACATCATCTTCCAGCGGCTCACTCTCGTCCACAGCCGATGAGCGCGAGAGGGAAAGCCCCTCTTTAAACTCATCTGCCAGATCCACCTGTGATCCCCACGAACTCATTTGTGTTGTTGGTGTTTTTTCAATGTATGCTTCAGACACGGGTCATGAAGAGGCGTTCTCCATAGTGACCCCTAGAGGACGCAGTTCGAAGTTCCCTTGAAAGGGAACCCTCTTTTGTGCGGAACTACTTCCTTCCGCCATGGATTCAAAGCTCAAGTTGACAGTTAAACATACGTCACTTTTAGAATTCGTATCAAGGGCATGTGCTGCTTCAGTTAGGTTATTAGTGAGAAATAATGAGGTTATAAGAGAGAAACAATGCGGCAAGACGTGCATCCAAATGAGAGAGACCCCGAAGCTAGACATTTCTTCTTATATTAACTAACGTATTCTACGATTAGCTCAGTGAATAATAAAACAAAACATAGGCCCGGCTAGAACAAGCGGAGTGGTACAAAATTTTGAAAGGGCGTTCCTGAAGCGATACCAGTACAATATCTCACGGTTCTCAACCAATCAGATTTGAAAACCAGAACGAACTGTTGTATAAATATATATATACTGTATAAATATATATATATGTGTGTGTGTGTGTGGGGGGGGTTTGAATTTGTAATTACAGGGGCAAACATAGCTAGAAATAAAATATGATATTTTAAGCTCTCACTGTGCATAATCAACACAAAAATCTCACTCCACATAACATCCTTCTGTTTACTGCATACTGAGTGTACTTAGGTCATTAAAACACTCTTTTATGCTCCAGTGTGCCAAAAATATTTTACTGTTACTGCCAATGTAGCCTCTTAAAAACATGCTGCTGAAAATGACTTGTAATTTATATATTTATAGTTTAGCTGTGAGCCCATATAATGCTCTCTGGCCATTCTCCTGTGGCTATCTGTCTTCAAAGACAGAAATAGAGCCCTTTTCTCTCTAAAGATGGATTTGTATAAGTATTCTACCATTCCATGCTTCATTAAAGCTGATGTCGCTGCTGTTCTGCTCAAATATGAAGGCTTTGGCCCTTCATAGCTTGTTAAGTGTGTGCTGGAGTGGATCGGTATTGAGCTGGGGTCAACATGTCTGCTTTGGGCCCTGGACTAGAGTCATGAAACACTCAAGCCTAAAATACTGAGGATTATGATTACACACTCCCGCTTTTGACCTGTTGTTTTGTGAAAGAAACCTCAAGATACTGAATTACATTTTTTTTTTAATTCAGCAAATGAGCTTGTCTTTAATTCAGATTAATTATGCCTTGGCACATCTGAGGAGATCTGTGCCAAAGCCGTCCCTGTTTGTATATTATATATCAGAGGACTGTTTAAATCAGTTCAGTCAAACTCACACTACTCATATATTGAACCTGCTGAAAGCAGAAACACAGCTTGCAGCTCTAGAGTCGGCAGCCCAGCCTCCCCAGTGGCTCTTTAATATTAGTAGAAAGTTAGTCCTTTGTCTTTTTTGACAGAATAAGCTGTTCAGATCTGAGAATTAAGCAATAAGGTACAAGCTATACAGGCTCAGAATTTCTCTCTGTTCCAAAACCTATGAGCTGCCTTGCTGTGTACTGTCTAACAGAGGCAGCTACTAAAGCATCTTAATTGAAAAGATAATACTGTAGCTGCATCTGAAATCACAAATCGCCAGTAGGTACTATATTTGATTTGAAACTTACTTGTGACTGTTGAAAAATAATGTTCTAGTATAAATATCACTAGTAAGTACTATATTTAGTACTGATAATACAGGGTACTACATGGTTTTATACCGTTTTTTTATTTATTTCATTGGGCCGTGAAGAAATATAGAGCTGAGTATCATCAGCATAACAGTGAAAGCTAACAACATGTTTGATATCTCCCAAGGGTAACATGTAAAGTGTGAAAAGCAACAGTCGTAGTACTGAGCCTTGAGGTACTCCATACTGTATTTGTGATCGATATGATATCTCGTCATTTACTGCTACGAATTGATGACGGTCAGATAAGTAAGATTTGAACCATGACAATGCAATTCCAATTATGCCAACCTAATTTTGTAGTCTACTCAAAAGGATGTTGTGGTTGATAGTGTCAAACGCAGCGCTAAGATCCAGTAGCACTAATAGAGAAATACAACCACGATCAGATGATAAGAGCAGGTCATTTGTGACCGTTAAAAAATTATGTTCTATATCGTATGAATATGGGTAATATGAAATAAAATTCTGACGTACTACATTATATACAGTATTCTATAGTAATTGTACAAAACTGATATATTTTGTATATGCAGCATAACTATTTTTATTATAAATGGGAGAAAAATAAGTACTTCATACATTTCAACAAATTAACTGTCAGCTAAGGCCACTACATCCATAGTGTCCATAATTTTTTTGTTTTCAAGTATTTATTAATATATTTTAGAAGAATATATTGGTCCTTTTATTAAAAAAATCCAAAATTGTATTTAAAAAAAAGTATGTAAATGCAACATCAAAAAAATGTTTTCCAAGCAACCATATACACAGAAAACATATATATTATTGTACAAATATATATATATTGAAACACCTTATCCCAGGTTTATTTTTCTTGCTTCCTGAGAGTTTTGATATTTCCATCCTCTCTCTTTTTTCCACAGTGTTTGCCCATCCCAGGTCATGGATTTGTGCTGGACAAGTATAAATGTCACTGCAAAAGCGGCTTTTATCATCAAAGCAGAGTTGCAGTCAATGGCTTTAAAAGTAAGTTGTATGTTAAAATGTTATTGATCAATGTATGTGCATTGTTTTTGAAGAAAACATGCCATTTCAGGCAATCTTCAATACATTTCATATAGCAGTTTTATATAGTATAGTAAGTACACAGATTTAAAGAGGTCATGAACTGCCTTTTTTATTGTTTTGTATTGTATTTTGTATTTGTATTTTGGATCTTCATTAAAAATAAACTTAATTTGGTCTTTCCTAATGTTGGGATCAGAAGGAAGGCAATGCAAAGACTGTGTTTTTCTACAACTTGGCACGGCACAGCGTCTTGTTGTCTTTGGAGCCATCATTATCATTTGGTTTCTGTGTAGACCTTGTCTCTCTCGTTATTTACTACACGAGCGAATCGGTGGGCGGGGCTAAACAGGCAGTGATTTAGAAGCAGGCGTTGATCTTCTTATGTGGAGGTCATAAAGTGGCACATTCCACAATCTGTCGTTTTGGCAGATTAGCTTCAATATAAGCTGTTTTTAGACTAACAAGAAAGTTTTGAGTTCTGAAACTTACAGGATGTTTTATATTACAATGACCTCTTATATCTCAAAAGATCAAGGGCATTTTGATTTCTCTGGTCATGACCCATGCCATGCTCCCAATATGGACAGAACAAGATATGAACTTACAACATTTATGCTACGTTTATACAATTAGGCTGCCACCATATTCTCATGAAAATGTTATTGATATCCTGTCTGTCCATGTTTATCCATCTATAAGTCTACACATATCTGTCAAATACTGGGGGTACAAAAGTCTACTTATAAAAAATATATATTTTGCATTTTTGTAATGTAATACACTGTTTTACTACAAATTGATATTATCACCATAACAGTTTGTCTTAAAAGTTCATATGAATTTCCAAATGCTTTAGCGGATGTGTCTCTTTTGCTTTAATAGCTTCTTTATTCAGTGTCATAATTGTCCTTTGTTTAAATGATTCAAAACTTTCTGTTTGCTTTCAGGTTTAAATTAGATTTTAAATTCCAGATTTTCAGTGAACCCGCTGTGCAGTTAGATGCAATATCTTACATAAATATTTTATTCACCCTTTCAGACACGCACAATTTTATATTTGAGCACTTAGCATACACTTAGCATCAGTTGCCTCTTATTGGAGCACTACAATACCACACCCCTTATGTTTAATTGATAAGTTATTTGCTCAGAAACTGTCACTTAAGGGTTTTCCCACAATGAGCACTCCAAAAACTTGTATGCACAAAAAAAAGAAGAAGAAGAAAGAAGAAGAAGAGAAAGAGAGAGAGAGAGAGAGATGGAATCAACAGTAGTATGCTGGCAGAATCTGGCCCTCAGCAGGGACCCCAGCACAGCTGACACCCACAGGGCCCTCCTTCACACCTCTCTGAACACAGCATTGTCTAATTCTAGCTTGTTGTACTTTTTAATATTTCATACTGCCATCTTTAAAACTCATACTTTATATGCAGTGATTAATTTATTTTCCATTGTTTGTTTTGCTTTAAGCTGCAGTGTGAGGCAGATACTATGATGTAAGAAATCTGGCTATGTGAGACTATTCATACAGTTTTGCTATGAATTTGTAGTTGTGGTGAAAGTCAGAACGTTTCATCTGCTTTAAGAACAGATTGTAAAGCCTTATTCCTTCCATACTGTGCAGAAAGAGGTAGAGAGGCAGACAGACATGTGGACATCTCCACAGGTCCTCCATCTGTGATAGATCCTCTCTGGATCTCCTCCAGTGCAGAAGTTGGCTGTCTTCTGTGTGTTTCTTTTTTATCTGCTCTGCTGAGCCATCATCCTCTCAGCTTTCTGAATAATGTTGACGTCTTATGTCTGGCATTCATTCTCCTTTATCCCCTGCATTCCTTTTAGGCCATAAAACCAGTGATATCAGCATTGGTTACCATGGAACCAGAGGCCTGTTCTGCTTTTCTGAGGTGTTAGGTGCATTTCGGGGGAAGGGTCCATAGACCCTCGTAATTGGCCATTTGGTTAGGTGATGGGGAGTTCGATATTATTTGTTAAATATAACAAAAAGTTGTGTGTCTGATTGGTCCAAATGCTACAGATTGTAAAGCCTTATTCCTTCCATACTGTGCAGAGAGAGGTAGAGAGGCAGACAGACATGTGGACATCTCCACAGGTCCTCCATCTGTGATAGATCCTCTCTGGATCTCCTCCAGTGCAGAAGTTGGCTGTCTTCTGTGTGTTTCTTTTTTATCTGCTCTGCTGAGCCATCATCCTCTCAGCTTTCTGAATAATGTTGACGTCTTATGTCTGGCATTCATTCTCCTGCTTTTTTCGTCAATCGGATTCTGTGACTGTCCGAAGCATGTAAATATGAGTCACAAGGTCAATTAAGAGGGTTTCATGACCTCGAGTGATAAGCGGTGATAACCCCGTTAAACTACAAGTGAGAAATGTTTCGTTACCCAGGTTTAAAAGTGGGATTTAGAATGACGCTAACCCGGGATGAAGCACAGTGTGAAAAGCCCTAAAGATAATTTTAACAGAATGTAATGCAAATGGAGTTATACTGCAAAATTCAAAAAGAGGTATAAATGATTAGCACAGCACTATCATAAATGTTGTCCATACAACTATATTCAAAGTCTTCTACACTTTTTCTCTGACACAGCCTTCTTATTCGGCCTTGCACACATTTGAGGAACTCGCAATATAAGAATAAAATTTAGGATTTCAAAAAAGTCTGTCAAACCTTGTGCTGTTTCTGGCTGTGTGTAGCACCTGCTGCTCTGCACATCCTTCGTAAGAACCCTAGTGTCATAAACAATCAGCTGAAGTTTTTAACACATCTATAATACCTGCTGATTTCAGAGTAAATAAAAAAAAAATCTGTCACAATTGAAATCAACTTCACAAAAAGGCTGTTATAAAAACAAATGCTGCAGATAAAAACTACAGTATGTTGGACAGACAGCAAACCTGCGTCCTGTAAATAAGTGTCATTGCTAATTTCATATGTAAAGGTTTTCTTTAAAAACCTGTTTGATTTTAATGGTTTAGAGTGGATGCAAACGTGTTTATATATATATACATATACAGGTGTACTGTATATGACCCATAAACTTGCAACATATTGTAGCATAGGAAACGTTACAGTACACACTTCACCTTTAAAATCCCATTGTTGATGTCACTTCCTGTATATCATTCTATATTAACAGTGTGGATAATCACTGACTGCCATTAATCATCTAATGTAAAAAAGACACCTATTTTTTTTTTATTATTATTTCTTAGTGATACCCCAGATCACAGTTGGATTTTAATAGAAAGTAAAACTATTGAATACCGTGAAACTGTCATAGATGTGAGATGTGCAATTGAGGCAGAAACAACTGGTGCATCAAAGTGACTGCCCAGATGGTGTGTACACACCCATCCACCCTGGCTAGCACATGAAACGGTGTGAGTTGCCTACTGTTGAGACCACCCATGACTGGAGGGAAGGGTGGGCTGGACCGCTTTAAATGTCATGTCTGTTTCACGATTATCACGATTGTTTGTGCTTTTTTTGTTGGTGTGATTATAACGTATGCAGATTTATGCAAGTGGTAAGATACAGCAACTGAAATGTAATACAGAGTTGTTTAAATGAACATCATGTAATGTTATTTGATTTGTTTTCCAGGCAAAGCGAGTGGGAAGGGCACGGAGAGTTTGCCACATCACAGGGATGTTCCAGAAAGTTCCAGCCACTGTCTGCCCTGCCAAGAAGGCTGTGATTTCTGCAAGGACGACGTGCCCTGCGTGGCCCGGGGTGACGGCGCCCTGCGTATGGCGGTGCTCTCCTTCCAGGGCTTGTGCATGCTGGTGGATTTCATCAGTATGGTGCTGCTCTACCATTTCCGCAGGAACAAGGTGAGCATGTGCTGCCGGAGGGAGCTAATTAAGATGGCAACTGTTTCCGTGAAGCACATCCTGTTCTTATTGACACCGGGGTGTTTCCATGCTGAGTTACATTATAATTAGTCACTCGTACTCCGAGTGTGCAGTATTCTATGTGTTAGGTGACATTTAATTCCTTGTTCGATTAGAAACAAAATGTTTTTAAAATACATTATTATAAAAAATGTTGCAAGTGTGATCTACGTTATGCTACGTTATACATCTCTACGGCTACATTTCTACAAAATGAAATAATTTACTTTGCTTCTTGCACGTTTCACGAAACATTCAAAGTGAAAGTGGCACTAAAAGTGCTGTAAATTTATCCAGAACAGATGAATGTGATTTGTTGGTTGTTGTCCGTATTGTGGCAGTTCGAAAGTAAAATGTTCAGTAAATGGTACTAAAAGCTTAATTGCGTTCGGAAATAATGTTGGTAACACTTTACTTGAAGGGGTGTGCATAAGACTGACATGACACCTTCATAATCATGACATGGTTTTATGCATGTTTATGACAACTGTCATTAAGTGTCATTCGCTCAGTTATGTAATTTTTAATGCAAATATGACATTATTTGACCTAACCCTAACCCTACCCCTACCCTTATCCCTAACCATAGCCCATAACAAAGACATCTCAAACAATGTCATCTTTGCATTAAAAATTACATAACTGAGCGAATGACACTTAATGACAGTTGTCATAAACATGCATAAAAAAACCTTCATATTCATGACATGAGTCATGTCATGATTATGAAGGTGTCATGTCAGTCTTATGCACACCCCTTCAAGTAAAGTGTAACCATAATGTTCCACCTACACTCAACCTAACTGATAATGTTAACAAAGACAAACTTAAGACAAAAAATGCATTTGCTAAAGAAACCGTATTATTTTAGCTTGCTTGTACAGTTTTTTGTGCTCTTTTATTCGTGAATTGGGTGTCACAGGTGCTTCACATCGCAAGTGCTGCAGGTGAGCTAGCGAGGATGTTTACTACATCAGAAAAGCTATACATATAGAGCTGGTAATGTGATGTAAACTTCAAAATGTATTCATTTACAAATCAATCACTATTGTAAATCATTTTGAGATTGACAGTATTGTGCACGGAATCACACAAAAACAACTCTTACATAATTGATGATCTGCCACTGCAAGCACAATTTCAGTGACAAGGAATACAAATTTCCGCCAGTGTTTATTTCAGATGTAAACTGCAGTGAAATATATGCACAGGTACATTTTTGGAGTTTTGCAAACATGTAGTTAGAGGCACATATTTCCAATGAGCCTTGGTTTCGTCATGTTTAGCACAAATAAAAAAAATCACGATAGGCCTACAAATGAAATAAATTGCTTTTTAGTTTTTCGGGGAGGTCTAACACAGTAGGGCTATTAAGAGCTTTTTTTTTCTTCTTTTACCAACTATCCAAATAATGTTTAATCCTAGAAAGCTATTATTATCAGAGGACACGTGAATATAATAGCTGCTTTTTTGAACATTTTAGCAATTTAAAAATATAAAAAAAAGATTTTTTACACGGCACCCCAGTTGGGAAACACTGTTCTAAATAATGAGTGGGGCTTGAGGAAGTGACGTCGCCTGCGTCTGCGCAGTGCGACCTGATGCAGCCCCTGAAGTGAGACACAGGAAACAGAAATACTGCAAAATAATAATAATAACGCGACTAAACGAGACGAAATAACGTTATAACATTTCGTTTCGTCTCGTTTTGGTCAACGAAAGTGAAGAGACATTTTACCATAGTTTTTATCTTGTAAACCACATTTAGTCTCATTTTTGTTCGTCAACAATATTGCATTATACATTTAATTATAGTCATCGTCACATGACCAGCATTTACGTTGCGTCTCGTCTCGTATTCGTCACGTGATAAAGGTTCGTTAACGACGATATTTAGTCATAATTTTCGTTGGCGAAAGCAACACTAGTTACGACATCTTTGTTTTCATCTGTCAACTCTGCTCAGTTGAATGACTAATTAATTTCAACATAATTGCAAACGTACAATATACTAATCACTGCAGGTTGTCACTTTGCACTTTGATTTTACTTCAGAATTTAAGGCAGCATGCCAAGGAATGGCTTATTTTAAGCTTATATGAGTTAATTAAGGAGATATTTAGAGCAGAGACAGGTTAAGACACAAGCAAGGTTGATAAAGGACAGAGAGAATGCAGTTTCTAGGAAACTCAATGAATGTATTGCACCGTTAGAGGGAAAGAGACAACATTTTCAGAGGAATTACAGAGGAAGGATAAAGAGGGCGTTATTTGCTGCAAACTATTACCTTAGGAAAGGACCGGGAGAGATCGCTCTAGCCATTCTTCAGAGAGATCTTGTTTTTCTACAGTGCCACAGTGTTTTCCATGACATCATACATAATGGATAATGTACATTCAGACAATCTTTATCACAAAATAAACCCCAACATGGAGAATAGAATCTGACATAAAGATGAGGCTGACTTCATTATCCTTCTTACTACATGGCGCAGTTTATTATCTCTCAGAAATAAATGTGCAAAAATTGTACCTTTAGGGGTACGATAGCTTATCACTGGGGCTGTAACCTCAAAGGGACACCTTTGCACCTTATTTACCCCAAAAGGTATAAATTAGTACCATAAGAATACTACTCTAAGGTAGTAACATGCACCCGTTATGGGTAAAGAAGATACAAAGGTGTCCCTTCAAGGGTACTGCCCCAGTGATAAGCTGTTGTACCCCTAAAGGTACAATTTTTCCATATTTTTCTGATAGAGTGTGATAACTGAGAGAACTGATGGTACTGAATGAAATGAGAGACTATATTGACCAAGTATATGGTCAAAAAACACTATTATGATTTATGCAAATCACTTTTTTTTAATGCAAATTATTTCAATTAAAGGGTTAGTGCTACCCCCAAAAAATTTAAATTGTCATCCATTTTTTTTCAAGCCCATAAGGCTTTCATTCATCTTTGGAACGCAGATATTTATAATATGTTCTCTCATCATTTTTGCCCATCCATTGAAAGTCCATGCAATCGAAATGTTCAATAAAAATAAAATAAATAAAAAGTTCATAAAGCCATTGTAAAAGTAATCCATATGAATCAAGGTTTAATCCAAGTCTTGCAGTATAAAGAGACACAATCTGATGAACAGATTTAATTTAGACTTTCATTCATATATAAACACTGATAAGCACACATACATAGAGCCCATAAAATATGGTCAACGGCAGATCAAATGGACTTGCTTGACACACAAGAACGAACCTCATTGGTTGTCGCGTGTCAAGCGTGAATTTTCGTTTTTACCCTTTAAGATGTATTATATTTAATTTTCTTAGTTTTGTTTTTAGCATTAAACTTGAAAACATTCTTGACAGGTTTCCTCACCCATATATTTGAATAATTTTAGCAGGTTTAGTGACTTATGTCAATTATGGCATAAGCCAGCATGGTTTAGTTCGTCTTGTAGTTTAACATTGACCTTCTCTTCGAAGATGTCAGTTAATTGAATGCCCAAACTCTGGATTGACTCTCTGTTAATTAGATTCATTAGTTTTTTTCTCTCTCTCAGGAGGAGTCTGTGGATTAGTGTATATATTAAGAATCTGGACAGCTACTTACTATACTTAGGACATTATGAATATATATGTAGAGTATTTCAGAAGCGTATGCCACACATGCTACTGTCTCAGCTTGAGCAGACATGCAGTCTGTGGCCTGAGTAATAGTAGACTGGATTCACACTGACTGCGAGGAAGGTTCATTAATCCCTGCAGTGAGGCGCCGTTTAGGCTGTCGATATGTAGGGCACTCAGTTTTGATAGTGCCAGCATTTTAATTTACTCTGGAAGCATGTTCCGTCTGCCTGTGCTGCCTGAAAGGGATCCATAAATGCTGGAGAAGTCTAAATGGAAGCGACAGAGTTAGTATTAGAAATTTTGTTCTGTTTCAGCTCAGGCTGTCAAGTGCTTTCTATTGGCCGTTTGATTTCAGAAAGCATTTGACAGCTCACCTGTTGCCTCTTAATGTGATTCTCATTTGCTCCGCTTTAAAGGATACATACCTGAGCCAGCTGGACAGATGAAAAATACATGCCGCAGTGCCACAGAAAAAAAAATGCATTTTAGCTTTTCTGGATAACACAAATATCTCAATGTGTAACAAATGCAATATAGATTTTAATTCCAACCTGCCACATACTTGCCTGGGCGTTTTTAGTGATACTGAAAACATTGATTACCTGGTTCAGGTGTGTTTAATTTTAGATTGAAATTAAACTCATCTGGATAGTGGCCCTCCAAAAGAAAGATTGGGCATCCTGATATTCACCTTATTTCGCAACATGAATGTAAACAAGTTTCTTTGAATGTGTGAGAATTCTGATTCATTAGCCACTACACTCTAAAAATGCTGGGTTAAATACAACCCAGTGCTGGGTAAAATAGGGACAAACCCAGCAACGGTAAAACTATTTCTATGTTTATGATTATGGCAGTAAATTGAAACATGATGATAACAAGTTCCAGTTTGCAAACTGTCTTTGTACAACTAAAAAAAAAAAAAAAACAGGAAATGAATGACACCGGAAGCTTTGCACCTTCAAGTTGCAAATTGCTGCATGTATAGTATATGTCCAATAAGGAAGATAGATACTGTACCTCAAATAATGCAGCTTGTCAAGGAGAAATATGACCAGAATATCAGTGAAACTTGGAGGTGGACTCCTTAGCAACCACCCCGAACACCTTAGCAACTGAATAGGAACACTCTGACAGCAACCAAAGCACCTTTTGATAGCAAACACTACTAAAAAAATCTTTAAAAAGTGTAAAAATACCGTTTTTCAGTCACACTTTAGTTGGGGGACCAATTCTCACTATTAACAAACTACTCACTACGACTTTTGCCTCAATAAATTCCTAATTTGCTGCTCGGTAAGGTAGTTAGTTAAATTCAGTTGTTAAGTTTAGGTAGGGGGTTGTATTAAATTCCTCATATTTTGAAAATATGGTCATGCAGAATAAGGAATTTATATGTGCTTTATAAATACTAATAAACAGCCAATATGTTAGTAATATGCATGCTAATAAGCAACTAGTTAATAGTAAGAACTGGTACTTAAACTAAAGTGTTACCAGTTTTTCTTAGTTATGTTGGTTACACTTTATTTTGGTAGTCTACTTTAGGCATTCTGTTAATCTGCTAACACTTTTTGTTGGTCCCCTACAGACATTCTACTGACTATAAGTAACTTTGCGAGTATAAATCAACATATTCTACTAACCCTAATCTATCAATCTACTAATAATCTAATAAGAGTTAGTTAACATGTAGTTGCAAGTTAATGAGATAGTTGCAAAGATACTCATAGTTAAGTACAGTCTACAAATACTCTAATGACTGGTAGTTGACATGTAGTTACAAAGTTACTTATAGTTAGTAGAATGTCTAAAGTGGACTATCAAAATAAAGTGTAAAGTCGTGAATGTTATTCTGAAACAGCAGATTTATTCCAGGGCAAGGCATCAGTGTGAAGAGAACAAAGATGAATCAACGTCTGTGAACACATTAGAATAGTCCAATGAGAATGTATTTATGTGCAAAGGGATAAGTTATGCACTATGTCACAAATGGATGGTTTTCCACTGACCCATTTCTAGCAAAAGAATAGTTTAAAGAGAGAGGTTTTCCAATGTGATGTTATTTTTGATGTGTTTCAGAGTATCAGAGCGTCAGGACTCATCTTGCTAGAGGCCATCTTGTTTGGAGCGCTCCTCCTGTACTTTCCGGTAAGCTTTAATGACTGCACCCATTTTTATTATATACTTTATTACTTTAGCCGTGTTAAAATTAATGGCACTTTGGTGACTAATATTCTAAGACTTGTGCTGCAATGTAATGTAGCCATTAGAAGGAGAATGCCTTTTTAATGGCACTAATTTAAGCATTAAAGAAATGTTCCGGGATCAATTTGAGTTAAGCTCTATGGACTCCTGTCATGATCATGAAATGCTGTTAAATCTGGTAATTTATGCATGTGTGTAAGAATAAAAAGGGACTTTTTACATGGAGAAAGGTCGGTCCACAGGAAGTACATCATGACTGCATACACTGAGCTCAGCTTGTTTTAATCCAGGAAAATTCTAAAATACAGCAAAAGTCACATTTACAAAGGCATTGGCATTATAGAACAATACAGATGTTCACATTGAACATGATGCAGAATATGCACTGAAGCAATCTAGGATAAAATAAGGGCTGAGCTAATTTACTGATGGACAGTCTCTGCTGTCCATGTGTTGATGAAGTATTGATTTAGACAAATGTCGTTGTGTGCTTTATTCAGCAGAGCCTTTTGGCTTACAGTATTGCAGTTTAGTGGCATTCACAGGAAACTGTGGGCTTGTCTTAACATGGAAGGGTAAATATAATTAAAGTGAACTGATTTAGAGGTGTGTAATTAAAGCAATTAGCACATACAAGGTCCTGATGATGGAGGACCATTTTAGCCATTTACTCGCTCTTTATTTGACTGTAATTATTTTCTCACAGACGTTGGAATCTGCTGTGAGCATGGAAGGCATATATAAAATCAGATTTTTTTTTTGGCATCTGATTTGGGAAACTTGCAAATAAGATGGTGTAACTTTCATTTTTAATTAAATTAAATCTAATTTGTTATAATGTTAATTTAGTATCATTGAGAATTCATTTTTTTATATTTTGAATTAGATTTTCTTTTGTATGTTTCAGTTTTATTTTAATTTTGTTGAAAGTTTTAGTCATTTTATAGTTTTTATTCATTTTGATTTAAATTTAGTTATTTTATTACATCAAATTAAACTAAATGAAAATGAGAAACATTGGCCAATAGCTGGAGTAAAATAAGTTAAAAGCTTTTTATATAATATTTTAATTATTTTATTTCAGTTAATGTTTATTTTATGTTAAAAAATGACACATAATGGTTTTAGTTAACTATAACTCTGATATGATAGATAGATAGATAGATCGATAGATAGATAGATAGATAGATAGATAGATAGATAGATAGATCATCCAAACAAAATGGTGAACTCAGTAATTACACATATTAAAAAAAACCTTACAAAACAACTGTTATCACATTAAATAATCACGATTAAATAGTTTTATTGACTGACAGCTCTAATTTAAAGTGAATATTATCAGACAGGACAAAAAATCAGCTAGGTGTCAAAATATTAGGTCTGTACATTTGGTTTAGCAGTGTTCATGCAGCCTATAAGAATGCGTCTGTTCTTTTAGAACTGATTCAGTTCATTTCCCCTCTGATTCAGTTTGTAGTTTAATCTGAAGCTCAGCGACTGATAGATTTGCCCGCTCACAGCCCACCGTGTAGCTCATCTGAAGCAGATAGAAGCTCCGCCTGTCTGTTCTGCTGCGATTGCTCCCAATCTAAATATAGACTGGAACATTTCTCCACTCCTTCTCCCCCTCTTCTACTTTAAATAATTCTAGTGTTATCAAGAAGCAGAGATGTATCTCATCTTGTTCCCCTGGCATTCTGATTTGTGGAGTAATGCAATTCTCTCAGCTCGCACCCCTCTCCTACTGCTGAGCATGTCACATGCAATAACTTCACTCTACGGTGTCTGGAATAAAGCGGGGGATGTGGAGCGAGAGAGAGAGGGGAAACTGAATTACATGTGCACTAACAGACACACACACACACACACACACACACACACATGCTTTTCTGGCTGCTTCTTCATCCCTGGCCATGCAAAAGTCACAGGGTGCCTGTGTGAATTTTGAAGCATCCACAGATTCGCTTTATACTCCATATCTGATGCTTGTCATTTTCTAAGTCACATTAGCAGCCAATGCCTGACAGCTTTATTTTCTGGTAACTTACCGGGTTTTACATTGTGTAACAATGCCAGAGTTTTTATCGGGTTTTCCTGCCAGAGTTTTGTTCTTAAGTTGCCAGCTGGGACCAGCATTTTGGATCATATTCACAAATCTTTCATGACCCCCAGAATATTTTAATGTATGAATATGTAAATAAATATATAAAAAAACAGATCCTTTTTTAAAGGGATATTTCACCCAAAAATGACACTTTTTTCATTATTCACTCACCCTCAAGTTGCTGGAACCAATGTTGGAAGCCAAACAGTTGACAGTAGCCATTGACTTCCATAGTATGGGCAAAAATACTATGGAAGTCAATGGTTACCGTCAGCTGTAACTAACATTCTTCAAAATGTCTTTTGTGTTCAGCACGAGAAAGTACGGAGCCCCTAAAGGGACATGGTGGTGAAAAAAAATTTGGGGTGGGAGGAAATGTTTTTTTGCATTCTCTCGCAAAACTTTTGCGTTCTCTCGCAAAGATATTTGCGTTCCCTCGCAAAACATTTGCGTTCTCTCGAACCAGTTGAGTTCGGACAAACACCTCCTGTTTACTTTACAGCTTGTAAGTTAGTGGTTCATACAGCTCGTACGTTCATAATGGAGCGGTTCATAGAGTTTTATTTTAAACTTGGACTCAAGTTTAAATACAGTCAGCTTTGCTTATAGTTTAAGGCACGGTTTTGGGACATTCTAAAAGGCTTAATGTGGCTTAATGTACTATAACAGTGACAGTGGAGGCCCAATTCGTTATTAGGCCTATTAACTATACTATTAATACTAATAACAATTGTAATATTAATGACCTTATTAATAGCATTATCAGTAAAGCAGATAATGCAACGTTTCTCCCCATTTAACACCGTTAGGCTATAGAAAACGATTAAGGGAGGCCAATGGACGAAGAGGGTATAGGCTAAAACCAAAATATGGTACACAGTTTATTAATAAAATATAGCCTATTATGCACAGGAAAGCAGACAAGCCCAGAATAGCAACAAGCCAAAACCTAATTTAAAGCGAAACTGAAAGTATGGTCTCACGTACCGCTCTCATTCTGCACAAATCCAGTAAACAGTAAAAATGCACATGTAAATCAATTTAAGGGGGCAAATATTGTCCCTTAATGGAAAAGGTGTGACTGCGGTCTAAGTGGGGGTACCCAGAAGAATGTTAGGCTAAATGCCCTAGGGGGTACGCCATTGTAAAAGGTTTGAGATCCACTGGCATAATGGATTACTTCGTTGATTGCCTGTAGTATATTTTTAATAAAATATAAAATTTGGGCTTTTTATATCACTGTCTTCTTGTATTAAGCCACGTTAAGTGCGGTTTTCTATGGGGAAGAAACCGCTTATCATGCAATTCAGCTCATATGGGCTCATCTGCTTGCATGTAACAGAATATATTTTTAATAAGTTCTACAGCATATTTGGTCTTTTTTTATCACCGTCTTCATTAAGCCGCGTTTTCTTTATGGGAGGAAAATGCTTCTGTTCTTCTGGGCTTACCTGCTTTCATGTATAATTTATTAATAAACTGTATACCGAATTCGGCATTTTATACCATTATCTTAGTCCATTATTTAAGCGTTTTCTTTCTATGAGGGATACGCTTAAAGTGCAATTCAATTTACCGGGTTATGTTCATATTATGGGCTATTCTGCTTGTCTGCATGCTTTATTAATAAGGTATGTACTGAATTTAGTAATCCAGTGGTTTACATTAAGCGTTTTAGAATATCCCAAAACCGTGCCTTGATAAGCATGCACTGACTATTTCGTCCAAGTTCAAAACAAAACTCTATGAACCGCTTCATTGTGAACGTATGGAGCTGTATGAACCACTACAATCTGTAAAGTAAACAGGAAGTGTTTGTCCGAACTCAACTGGTTTCGCGAGAGAACACAAAAGGTTATTTTATTTTATACCCCAAATTTTTTCACTCAATCTGATTTTTTTCCCACCACCACGTCCCTTTAGGGGCTCCGTAAGAAAGAGACTCATACAGGTTTGGAACAAGTCGAGGCTGAGTAAATGATGACAGAATTTTCATTTTAGGGTGAATTATCCCTTTAACACCTGAATGTGGGGATAAGTTTAATAAAAAAATAAATACAAATCTTTTCACCTCCAAAGACTGCACAGTCAAAGACCTCTTTGTGGACATCAGCAATTTTCTCCGTAATATTACGCTATTTTGATTAAGATGCTGTTGTATTTTTGGTGATCATTTTAGCTTACCTGTGTGCAGGGGCGGACTGGGACAAAAATTCAGCCCTGGCACTGTAGTCACACCGGCCCACATTACCACACCGACACAGCCCCACCCACGGACACACGCATTCACTACTTACATTTGTGTACAGATGGTGAAAAAATATAAGCAGTACCATATATGTAACAGATATTTAAACATTTAATGTATGTGTCTGGCAAACAATGCTTACTACTTTTTAAAGAGCACACGTTTATAACAAATTTACACATACAGTAAAAACAAAAGAAACATAATCTGAGGATGTTGTAGAGTCTGTGTGCTGTCTGTTTATGCCATTTGTCTGCTGTTACCGTCATTCTTTACAGTATGTTGTTCTTTGTTGTCACTGTCTGTCTGTTGGGTTTTTCCTACCTCTACCATACTCCTCCCTGTCTCTGCTTGGCCTACCGTAGCATCCTTCCTCACAGCACTGGTGTAATAATTTTACTCAGTTGTAAGGGAATTAATCATAATTAATTCATTCAGATTTTGATAGGACTCGGATTTGAAGAGCCTAATTCAACCTGATTCGAATTGCTTCTAAATTTGATAGTTTACACTCTTATCAGCTACTCGGCCAGCGAGAAGTTGATGTC